CGGGGGCACGCGCGCGCGCCAGGCGGGGGGGGGGGGGGGGGCTGCATGCTCCCCACTGCCTCTCCTCTCCTCTCCTCTCCTCTCACAGGACATACAAGTTGCTGGCTGGCCTGAGCTGCCTGCACCAGCAAGGACCAAGGACGGAAAGGAAGCAAGCAGTGAGGTGCAAGGGAGCCCGCGCCACGCACCGGCCTGGGATGGGCGGCAGCACGGGGCCCCGGTCTGCAGGGGCTGGTTGTGCAGCACCACGGGCGGGAAAGAGATCTGTTCACCGAAAGGAATTAGGGTTCTGACAATGGACGACAAAAGCTAGAGTTAAATCACCTACAATGTTTCAATTTCTATTTGTCGTCAAGAAACCCTGACATGCAAACTGAGGAATTTCTAACTTCCCCAAATGTACTTCCCAAGACAAAATTCATACAACTATTACTATTTTAAGGGACTTTTAAAAATGTAAGCTATTTTCCCCAAAAAACTTCTGTAGACTTTGAGCATAAACAGGAACATGTTGCTCTGCCCAGGAAGCAGCACTTTTTAGAACAATAAGCCTTCCCTTCTCCCCTCAAAAGGACATCCTTTATTCAAAAATAGATGGCATTTGAAAGCAGGCGAAAGTTATAAAATTACAATACCCTAGAAAGGCTGAAAAGCCAAATAAAATGAAGTTTTCCTAATGAGAATGAGTCACTCCCATCCACCCTCTTTTCTGCACTAAACGTAAAGCAGGTTTAAATCCCCAAACCACTCAAGTCCAAGAGCTTCAGCACGGCCCTGAAGGAAAGAAGGTCAAGGCACCTACTCCAGAGTCAGGGTGCTTTCCTTTCGTGCCTTCCCCTTGGAGGCTGGTTCAGAAAATAACAGGACCCCTAGCAAGCTTGTAATTCACTTAGAACTAGCTTTTCGTTTCATGTGCTTTCTAGCACCAAGGTTTCACTGACCACCGCAGTCCACTTTGCTAGGACCTCTGTGTGCAGAGAGGAGGTGAGGGTTCTCCACCTCTTGCCCGGCTCCTCACACAGGGGGCTACAGTGTCCTTCCTGCTCCTGGAGCCGCTTCCACGCAGGAAGGAACAGTCGAGGGGGTTCTTGTGCACTGTCATGGGAAAAGGTTTTCCTTTAAAAGGGGTGACACGTGAGAAACTACATTTGAAAATAACGTGGCTCCTTCCTTTAGTTTTGGAGATGGAGAGAGACTTGTGAGAGCGCTGCAGGTCCTTGGCTTCAGGACCACATGGCAGAGTCAGAGGCGCACGCTGCTCCCCTGGACCTATGCCGAAGCGCTCTCCTCCCTGGGGATCAGGGACTGACGTGACTTCCTCTGGGAAAGACCACAAGCAACAAATCTGACAGCTGTCTCAAACACCACCTCCTAGGGCTTTTAAAGAGCAGGGTTGTCAAAGGCTACAGACGATGGGCATATGTGCGCCACTGTGTATTTCCGTAACAGCTGCATCTTAATGGTTTATCTAGGAGATCTCAAGCATTTCTACACTAAACGTGGGAGAACGCCGTCCTCCAAAGGACGTAATGGAAGGAATGTGGGCCTCACACGGCACAGGTCAACCCTATCCCCACCACTCACTGCCCATCACCGTGTGACTTTGGGTGTGACCGAGACCGTTACTGAAACACCAAGTATGCACCGCTAGGTTGAGTGAGCATACACAGTTTCATCCAGCAAATGCACGAGTAGATCTGTGGAAAACAACAGCTTTCACATATATGAGATTTTTCCCTCCTAATTCTAGGGATAGAACCAGCCCTAGATTCAGGTTTCTACATCAAGGTTAAAGAAAAATGTAACCAACATACAGTGTACCACATCTGTTATTAATAAACTTCACAACACTGACTTGAAATCTCATATACTTAAGAATGAGGAAGAGAGTAACGGAGATATTTTTCAATTTCAAAACAGCCATTTAATTTTTCCTCCACAAAAAATTGGCCAGAAACATATTAAAGACTGGCAAAGCTAGAAAACAACCTAGGAGCATTTTCTTCTCTGACATGGACAAGTTTACCCGCCCTGCCTCAAACCTTCCTCAGAGCCCTCAAAAGCTGGGACATGGCGCCTGGAGCCACAAGTTCTCTACATTGTAAAAATTTCTTAAAATGCTCATTTTGATCTTTTCAACCCGAGATCATAATAAATTTCCCACAAGTTTTAAGTCACACTGGAGCTCCCGAAACTGTCTTTGAAAGCCTGACTTACTTTCTCATTGTTCTTGGATACGTTTTATCCGGGGATGATATTCCAAAACAAATTATTCCTCTTACATGTAATCTTCTAAAATGTATCCACGCTAAACTTTGAGTGGCATCACGCTGTAAAGGGATCACGTGAAGAAAACCGGTGCACTGAGGTAATTCCCTAACGCCCAGATCAGTAACAGATCGCGGGCGGGTAACCCTCCTGAAGCCACTTTTTTTCCTTTCTGCAGTGTTTTGAACAGCGCGCCCCTGAACCCTGCCCTGTGCAGTCCTGCGGAGCAGACTCTCCAGCAGCTCTCACAACACCTGAGGACAGAGGATGCTGCTCCTCACGCGGGGCCAGGCTCGAGGCTCTGGGACCCCCGTCGTCCAAGCCTCGCTGCTCTCCCCGTGGAAACCCTCTCCAGGCCGAGTACTCCTCTCTGCGTCCACCTTACTGACTGACTAGGTCCCGCTTCATCTCCTCTTCCACCTCTTCAACTGCCTGGGAAGTGTTGGGCGAGCTAGCACAGGCCGACCACAGAGCAGGAAGGGGTTCCAGGGGAAAACCCTACCGGTGGGCTGAGCTTGGGCTGCAGAGGGCCACGAGGCGGCGGCATGGGCAGGGGTCACCCAAACCCAGAAGCACAGCCTCAGGTCGGGTGGGGTAGCTCACAGCGGATCTCCGAGGGGAGGGCGGGCGAGGGCAGCTCTGCAGGGCTCCCCCACTGTCAGCCTGGGCAGGGGTCCCCGACCTCGTGCACAGCGCCCAAGGAAGGCTAGCCACCAGCCAGGCAAGTGTTTGCCTTAAGAGAGCACTCCGGGAAGAACTCATTCAAATTCACACGGCAGGCCCAGTGGTGGGCAGGCAAGCACGCAGTGAGTCTGCTAATTACTGCTGCTCCTGCACACGGAGCCCTGTGGCGGTCCTCTCCCCTCCAGCCTCCGCGCCCCGCCGCCCACCAACCTTGCCATGCTGCTCCGAGGCTGGGTCTCATGGAGCTGCCCCACTTGCAGCTCTCCAGCCTCAGTCCCCTGGGTGCTGGGGCCACAGATGCACAGCCGCACCCAGTTCCTGTGCCATTTTCAAACTGCGGATGTGAATAATTCCTGAACTTGAAGGGATTATAAAATAACTACCTCTGTAATACGGAATTTACAAAATGGATTCTTAAGTCACAACAAAACAGGCCCCGGTTCCAGTCTTCTCTGCTCCAAGCCATTGTCAGGGAGCTCTGAGAGCAATAAGCACATGAATTTCATCTGTGAAGATGACAATTCTCATTAGAAAAATCAACAATTACAGTCAACAAAAATCTCATCTTAAGAAATAAGAAAAATACAAGCATTCTGATCAGCCTACAACAGCTGTTCACCAATGGTTTCCCTCTGGAACAATGCTCTTCACCCCAAGCCTTTAGCTCCCTGTGTTTGCTTTCCTAGGTGCCTAGAAGAACACGCAACAAAACACCCTTTCATGCATGTTAAGTCACTGCGTACTTTCATCTCTCAGACTGCGAATCCACAGGCAAATCTCAACTCCACGTGTGCCCACTCACTGCAGAACCACGGTGCTGGCCTTCTTCGCTCCATCGCTCAGCCAGCAGGTAGCGAGCTACCAGTTTGGTCAACCTTAACCCCCCAACTACCAAGACAGCAAATCGGCCATGTACACCCAGGCAGAGGTAGACACACACACACACACACACACACACACACACACACACACACACGCCATTCTAGGAATTCCTGGACTATCTGTAATTTCAATTTTTAAAAGTCGACTGAACACCTGCCACCTTCATTCTCCTCTAACAATTCAGCTAAAACCTCCAGTGTGGTATTAGCTCGATTCCCAAGGGTGATCTGGCTCCGATTAGCACATCACCTCAGAAACCTCCTGTTTCCAGAGCTGACCCCACTCCTAGCTCAGCCCCAGCCAGTCCCAGAGGCCTCGCAGAGCAGGCCCCGAGGACATGGTCTCCCCGCCTCTCTGCAAGAAGGAAGCACTCACTCTCTGGCGGAAGGTTTTAAATATAGAAAACTTCATGGCTGCCATTTTTCTAGGACAAAAGACAAAAATAATTTGACATCTGTTTTTCCCATCTTGAATGTTTTACCAAGGATCCAACCACCAATATTATTACTTATTCTCAAATTTTTTATTTCTCAAGAGGACAGAACATTCCACATATGCAATTAAAACCTTCCCCTTTATTGCTCAGAATAAGCTGTACGTTAAAGAAACATTAGATTCTGTTCAGAATTGGTGTCTTTCAAACTTGCTACAGAAAGTGAGAAACATGAAAAATCCGGTTTAACCACCCAACCAAATAAATATTTGGGAGGAGAGATAGCCAGTTACAAAAAGGAAGTGCATTACTGGGTTTTGGAGAACTAGAAACTTTTAAAACATGCATTTCACACAGACGTTTCATATGGTTTTGCCCAAAGGCTACATTAGAAGGAACAAGAGACTAGCCACAATCCCTCCTTTCAAACTATTTCTGAACTCTTCTGTGAAGCTAAATTGCATCCCCACCTACCTACTGACAGTGCTTTTACCTCCCCCACTAAGAGGTGTAAGGCGGCCAGGTAAGGAACCAGCATGGGTCCCGACTCCACAGCTCTTGAACTCCTGTGCAGAACCTGAAATGTGTGTCTTCAAAGCCAGAGCTATAAAGGGCAGCTGGGTCTGTCTGTCAACTACTGAGTCATAAAACCTTCAGACCCACACAGGAAGAAGAGAAAGGAAGCTGCTGAGCCCTTACCTGGTTAAGGACGAATTTCAAAGGCTAGGGCAGTGCTTCCAAAGGCAGGTCCCCAAGACAGTTTTCACTAGTGCACAGCAAAATGAGAAAATAAGACATGGCAGTGAGATGCTTAAAAATATTACTGCTGTCACATTCACTTTAAAAAGCTCTCCATTTCGGATCATAGGTTGAGTGTGGTGGCAACATGCTTGTAATCCCAGCACCCAGGAGGCTGAGACAAGAAGATTGCTGTGAATCTAGCTTGGGCTACATACACAGTTCAATGCCAGCCTGAACTACACAGTGACATGTGTCTTGAAAAAAGCGGGGGGTGATAAAGGAGGATTATAAACTTCCTTTTATTTTCCTTACTGTATTTGAAATTATATTGATCCCAGATAACAGTTCACTGTTTTGTCTAATATCTTACTCTTTCTAACTCCCAACTGCATGTCAGCATTCCAGCTTTTACAGTCTTGCTAGATGATGTCAGGAATTCGGGACACAGGAACTTCTAATGTGTAGCTTGTGATCGATCTTATGAGAAAGTGAGGTGCCTTCAAGATTCCTACATTAACCCTCACTTCCAGTTCTTACTCACTGCATCCACATTCTCCAAAGAAAAGCTTTCCAGGTGTTCCAACCCTCCCAGAACATTTTGAGACCTTTCAAAAACGCATTAGAAGCCTCTGACCCTTGAAACCCTGTGATGACACCAGAGCCTTGGGACAGAGAGGACAGTGTGGAAGAGGCAGGCAGGCGGCGAACAGGGTGAGCAGCACCGTGTGGGCTGTCCCCTGGCCTCGGCTCCGTCTTCCATCAAGTCAGGCCAGCCCTGCTGGGGTCCCTTCTTCGCATCAGACAGGGTGAGCACAATAGGGTCTCCCAAAGTGCCCCCAGGTAGGAGAGGCATTGCTAGCTCTCACAAGACGTCTGACGAGGTGGATGGGGCTACAGAGACCGGCTGGGGCACAATCAGCACAGCCTGCTGGAGTCTCATCCTTATCGTCTCAGGTAATTTCTGGTTTTAAAGTAAAACGCTGTTGCCACACCTAACAGAACAGAGAGCCAAGAAAGAAACCCACACACTTGCAGTGCACAGATTCACAGCAGTGCCGAGAAATGACAGTGCCTTCAATGACCGGTGCTGGAGAGACAGAAATCAACCTTCTCTCAGCCACGTACCACAACAGCTCCACAGGAGTCAGACTTATGGACGACGTGAGCTGTGAAACCACTGCCAGAAAACACGGTGGGAAAGCCCCACAACAAGTCAGGGCAAGGGATTTTTTTACATAAACCTAAAAGCACAAGCAACAGAAATATCAATGGGGTTACATCAAATAAAAAAGCTTCTTCAGGGGCCAGGGATTTAGCTCAGTGGTTCCACCGTGTGCCTCAAAAGCACAATTCAATCCCTGGTACAAAAAAAAAAAAAAAAGCTTCTTCATCACAAAGGAAACAACCACCCGAGTGAAGCAATGTATAGTACCGAAAATATCTGCAGCCATACATCTGGGAAGGGATTAATATCCAAAATAGACAAAAAACTCAATGAAATAAGCAAAGAATAAGCCCAATCTTAAAAATTGGCAAAGGACCTAAATAGGCATTTCTCAAATAAGACAGGTAAGCAGCTAATGGGTATCTGAAAAATGAAAAATGCTCAGTGTCAGTATCATTAGGGAAATGCCATTAAAATCACAATAAGAGATCGCTTTACACCTGTTCGGGGGTTGTTATAAAACATATACAGATAACACTAGGAAAGAACTTCAGAAACGCTGCCGATGGGAGCATGAATGAGCACGCGGTGTGGTGAACAACACAGAGGCTCCTAACCGCGGGATCTCCTAGTCCCCTTTCGGGTAACACCTACTGCAGTCCACGGCCTGGCTGGGGCTTTGGACGCCATTGCGCCCCTCATTAACTGCAGCACTGGCCACAAGGACCAAGGTAAGGAATCGACCTGACAGGAAAACAGCAGGCCAGGGGGTACGGAAAATGTCACCCACATACATGCACCCATGTGCAAGCATGCACGCACCCTGGAATGGTGCTCAGCCATAAAGCATGAACCCGCGCATCTGCGGCCACTCAGCTGAGCCTGGAGGATGTCTGGTTAAGTGAAACGAACCAGACACAGAAAGACAAATGCTCACTTACATGTGTAATCTTTTAAAAAGTTACAAGTCAAGAAAGCAGAGAACAGGACAACTGAAGTTCTCAGGGAGGGTGTGGGAGCTAAAGATTGCTCAAAAGATACCAATGTTCAGTTAGTCAGGAATAAGTGTAAGAGAACTACTGCCCCGTGCTGTGACTGCAGTTCGTGACGATGTATCACGTTCTTGAAATTCCCCACCAATAAACGCTATGCTGTCACCATAAAAAATAAGTATGTGAGGCGATGCCTGAGCTCATCAGCTGAAACCACCCCACGATGCACATGTATTCCAAAATATACCATTCCACACCAACATTCAACCTTCGTCAATTTTAAAAGACTTTTTAAATACAGAGAACAGGACTTGAAAAGTAATGATCTTTAAGTATGGCTTATATATTTCTTAACAAAAATGACAACTTCAATGTAGTCCAAAATTTCAACAGGGAGGTGGGATGCAGGGAAATCCAGAACTTGCTCCGATCTGACTCCCTCCCTTCGCTCACAGCTCGCCAGTAACCAAGCACTGTCCGGGGTGTCGTCTCGGACACAGAGACTGGGGTGTGGCTTGGCCCTCAGAAACTTGTCTGTTAGACAGATAAAAGACCCTCAACGAGGGCCGGGGATTTAGCTCAGCGGTTCAGTGGCCTGCCTTGCAAGCACAAGGACCAGAGTTCAATTCCTGGTACCAAAAAAAAAAAAAAAGATCCTCATGAATAGCTACAACGTAAGACAGAAATTCAGTCACGAATTGTGGCATGAAATGTTTTCTTAGTCCAAGTTCAACAACTGTTTTCTGCCACCCTGTCAGCTCTGCAGGCTGACCTCAGACATCCATGTAGTCTCCCCTTCCTGAGCCTGAGCCTCAAGCTGTCTACTCGATGAGAAGTCATAAGCGTCTATGACCTCACCTTCTTTCACTAGGCGAGCTCTTACTGAGCACTGGTCCTGTATAAAGAAATGATCAGACACTCCTTTCAGCACCCCATCACTGGAAAAGTAGTGTGGTTTCAAACTGTAAAATGTATCACAGGTAAGAAACAACACAATGCAGTAGTGCCTTGTACGAGAAAGCACTAACACTTCTGCATGTCTCTGGATCTGAAACCCCCATGCGCAGCCCCAAGTGGTCGCTGTCCCAGACCTGACTGCCAGCTGTGCTCTGCACAGCAGAGGAGGGGCTGCCCCTTGCTATCACTGCTCACCCTCGGGAACACTGCAGCTGCTGCACATGTGCCAGAGGTGCACACACTTTAGGAAACCCTGTAAGCACATTCCTTCTCTGTTCTTCTTTGAGATAGGTTCTCACTAAGTCACCAAACTACCTGGGCTGGGCTCAAACTTTCAATCCTCCTGCCTCAGCCTCCCAGAGTGTGGGACTACTGGCATTTGTCTCCACACCCAGCTATAAGCATATTCTTTTGAGTATTATCAGCAGTGATTCTTCATCCTTTCCTGGAAGACTCAGGTTTTGAGAATATCCAACACTCACCCAGAAACTAGGCTTACTGAATGAGGTGGTTATTTAAGCTCGATTAAGGTTCGTATTAGTGCAGTACAATCAGGTAAGAGGGTAATGTCCTGTGGAATTCACCAAGCAACTCTCATAATGACCCCTTGATATGCCCTAAAAATGCTGCAGTAACGGTACCAAGATTTTTAGACAATTACTTGACAGAATGAAAAATTTCAAGGACTTACAAACCTTACCTGTTAGGTCTCACTGCATTAAGGCTGGTCCTCATTTTTAGAAAAGTGTTAACAAATTTAAATCTAACCATCAAAAATGAGAGAACAAAATCTACCAAATTACATAAATTGTGTCAATGTATCGTTTAATATCTGCTGAAACCTACCACACAGAGCAGATTAGGGCTGCTTACTCTTCCTCTTCAGGAGAGGGTACCGGTGGGAAACACCACACACAGAAGGATGTCCACATACAACCACTATGAACACCTGTGTATCGTGCAGTGAGGGTTCTACCAAACACACAGGTTTCTAAGTAAAAGGTTCCATGCAAAAGCCTGAAATGAAGAGAGAAAGTCTGACAAATCAGTCAATTCCTCTTCACTCCTCCTCTCAAAATATCCGTGCTGATTCTGCATTCACTATGAATATCCGGGAGTGAAACTTACATTTTTACAAGCTAAAAAATTGGCGGGGGGATCCAGAATGCGTATTTTTCTCCTTTATCACTTTTTCTGTCTCTTTTCTGAAACTACTAAGTCATTCGAGCCTACAAAGAACTACATGCAGAACAGTGAACAGTGAACAATCAGATTTCTCACCCGCCAACCCTCCTGCAGATGCGCAGTCCCGGCCTCCCTGAGCCATATGCAGCCCGCTCTGCTGCTCAGCTCCACTCTGGGACAAGGGCCGCAGCTCCCGAGGTCTTCTCAGCTGTCAGTCAGTGCACAGCCTGTGAGCATCTGATCCTTGTCCCTAACAGAGTGAAACTCCCTCCTTCAAGATAACCAATGCTATCATTAAAACAAAGCAACATATTCTTTCTTCCTCCATATCAGGAACAGCCACAAACATTGGCATCGGTGACTATACCAGCACACAAAACAGCAAAAATCCCTGTCCCCTTCTTACCGTTAGAAGCCTGCGTGACCAGTGGCTAAGTGCCTACTTACCCTTGCGAGACCCTGGTTGCCCCTGGAGAGGAGGGTGGACAGTAATAAGCAAGAAGGAGAAAACCAGGCAATGAGGAAGCATGCGAGACCTCAGGAAAGCTGTGGCGCTGCTTTCAGCCAGTCCTGCCCACAGGGCCTGCGGGCTACCATAGCGGGCTACCGCAGCCTGCTGCCTGGAGGCCCCGGGCAGTCTGAACGTCCTCCTCCTCAGAAGGGTCCTGTCCACCAGATCCAAAATCTGCTCTTTACAAAGGACCCCCTAAGGCCATCTCTTCTTACAA